TTAAACCTCATATTTAAATCAAATAATAAATTATATACGAATTTTGTATATTGAATATATAAAATTCATCCACCACGATTAACAAAAAAAGAGGAGATATTATTATTATATTTTCTTATAATGAACATGGATTCAAAAATTATACATAATATATGCATATATATAAAAATATATCATATATACATTAATTTCACCCTATCTTTAATAGAATTTTATCTTTCTTTAGTTTTGGGTCTTCCATATGAAATATTTTTCAGAACAAATCTTTTAAGGATATCAAATTCTAAATTGGACATAATATTATTAATTTTTTCAAATAACAATAAGATAATATTATTTCACCCTAAATAATATTATATTTTTAGTCCAAATTAAATTAAAAGATCTTTTGGATTTTTCTCATTTATAAGAACATTTTCCGATTAAATAGGGCATATTATATTTATTAAATTTGAACACTTTTTAAATTCAATGGATCTGGATGTCTTAGTATGTGGGGTTTATGCCTCGAAGACCTTTTTTTTTTTTTTCAATGGGAGGGTTAAATTGTTAATATCACCGGAGAAAGAAAAAAAAAAACAAAGAAAGAACGAACTCCTCTCTCATTTATTCTTTCTGGGTTAATAATTTATCCATGCACTTTTTCTCCTTGAAGAATTTTTTATCTTAAGGGACAATGATACACCCCAAAATAGTTCAAAGGACAGCATCTAAAAGTGACACAAACAACTATTTTCTCTCTACATGTTTAGAGTAGTTTATAAGTAGTTTTTTTAATTATGATTTATGAAATATAATGTAAATATGTGAGGAAAATTTTATCTCAACTTATATAAAATTTATTTATAAGTGTTTATTTAAGTGATGCCAAGCGAGTATTCTATCTATTTAACCAATAGCTAAGGGCGTATTTGGATTAGTATTTGGAAAGGATGCCGGTCACAAAGTGTGAAATATGAGTTGAAGAAAGATATGGAGATTGAATTTTGTTTGGATGAGTGATATGCTAGAATAGAATAACTTCTAAGCTAAAAGCTTCCTCACCATGAAAGTTTTTTGAGGTGCTTCTATAGTTATAGAAAAGTTATTTTTCTACTATGGAGAGAGAAGAAAAGAGACAAGGAAAAAGGAATGAAAGAGAAGGAAAAAAGAGGAAAGAGAGAGAAGGGAAAAGTATTATGAGGTACTAAGAAAAAAAATTTAATTACCAAGAAATATTAATGAAAAGTGATGTTTATTTTTTCTCAAACTTATCATTACATACTTTTTAATTGTCAACAAACTTTAAGTAATTAAATCCCTTACTTAAAACCTAATTACAATTCTCTTCAACTTAAACGTGGGTTTAAAAATTAGCCATACGAACGGTATAGAGCTTGTTTGGCCCAACTGTTGGAGGTTCGTAAGTTACCTTTTTTTTTAAAACCAGATATAAGTTTAAAAAATTTATGGTGTTTGAATTGGTGGTGTAGAACAATAAGATTTTGCATAAAAAAAATAACTATAAAAAAAGCTAATATATTTTAAATATGCCCTTATAATAAATAGGGATAATTAATCCACAGCTCCTTATAGTTTCAAATAATTTTAAATCAGGTTCTTATAGTTTTTTTTTTTAGGTCCTTATACTTTCATCTGTTTTTAATTAGGTCCCTGAAATTTTTATTCTTTATTTATAAATTCTAATAGTACTATTATATAAACATAAAACAGTATATATTATTTAATATTAGTTTATAAACAATAATATTCTAAAGATATGAATTATTATAATGATTTTATTTTTCCAGCAAAAAAATTAATTGTTCTAAAAAAATTTCCTGAATTAATTAATTCTATTACTTTTTTATTACATAATTATTAATTTAATTTAATATTTAATATTTTATATTTCAGTATTAATCTATTTAATTAATAAATAAAATTAAAACTATATGGACCTGATTAAAAATTTAGTGAAATTATAAGGACCTAATTAAAAGAAAAATAAATACAAAGACCTAATAAAAAAAAGATAAAAGTATAAGGATCTAATAAAAAGAAAAAAAATTATAGGAATCTGATTCAAAATTCGTTGAAACTATAAGGACTTGCGGATTAATTAACCCTAATAAAAATAAAAAATAAAATAAAATATATGAGATCAGGAACTTATAAATAATTTAAAATTATTATATTATGTAAATTGATACTTTTTTGTTTTTTATTATTTAATAAAAGTCATACACATTTTAGTAATTTTATAAACTAAAATTACTTATTTAAGAATGATCCAAACAACTTATTTTCACGGACTCAACTTACTTTCACAAACTAACCTATTTTAAAAATTAATCTACACATAAATCACATTACTTAATCTAATTTTTTTAAAAACCAAATTAAAAATAAATTATTTTTACTGCTGCCAATCCAAATAGCCCATGTTGTATAGTTACCTTACTCAAGACTAGACTAAAGGAAAAGAAAAAAAGTACAGGTTATCAACACATAAATTATTTGGTATTGCAGGTACGTATATATAATGGAGAATATGGATGGATTTAAGACTCTTGACACTGTTTACACAACGAAAGTACCCAATGCATAATAGAGTGAGGGTACAATTATTCTGCAACACAAACACATCATGATGTTTCTCCCCCCAGACGACATGAGGTTGAACGTATTTGAGGAGCACTCAGCATTGTTTGCGGCAGAGGCAACGGCGGCGGAACCCACGGCAGTGGCCGTCGGCGAAGCCCTCCGACTGGCACACAGAGGCACAGTTAGAGGACCTCACACATATTCCTCTGAAGCGTTGGCTCGCTGACTCGCACATCCTCGCTTCTGCCACCATTCTTGGCCCCATCCCTGCTAAAATCAGCCCCATAGTATCATATCATATATATATATATATATCTATACACGCACACGATCTAAATAACTTCTAGTTCTGTACCTGTGGCCAGAAGCAGGAGGAAGAGGAGGAAGATGGAAGAAACAAGTTGGGGCAGAGAACGAGCCATATGAGGAAGTGACAGAGTAGTGAGAGAGAGAGAGAGAGAGAAGAATCAGTGGGGTTTGATGATGCTGGTGCGAATGAAAGAGGGAGGGAGAAGGTCTTTAAATAATGGAAGAGATGGTAATTAATTAAGGTAAGCATGAGATTATCAATGTGGGTTAATAATTAACCAAATCTTAATCTCTGTGACTTTCATTGGATAATGGAAAATGACCACTCATAAATGCTCTGCCGCTGCTTCTGTCTTAATGTCTCCTGCATTACTTATCACACTGTGTTTTTGGCTCAACATTGGTTTTTTCATCAGTAGACGTACACTTGTATTTATCACTTAACCGGTGGGGTTGGGTTTCAGGCTGTAGCTATTTCAATCTTTGATCTCATTTTGGATGGAGATAAGAAGACAGGCATATACATGCATATATATATGTACTACCTTCGCTCCGATTTTTAATATAAGATTCTGTTTAATTTTTATTTTGGTCTTAAATATAAGATCCTAATCTATTTTGTCTCTCATATTTATACATTTTTTTTCAAAGTAGCCCTTCTAACAATGATAATTCTAGTCAATACACTTGATTAGCAAGGATATTTTAGGAAAGACAGTACCTATTTAGGACAAATAACTAACTCAATTTACTTCTTTAATCTCTCAAATTAGTCAACTGGTTATAATTAGGACCGGAGGTAGTAAACAGTAAGATACAATAACGAGTTAACAACAACCAATATTATCTCATTAACTAGGATCAATTAACTAGATATATAGGCTGCACAACGCCATTGCCAATAACCAAATTTTTAAACAAAATTGTTAATTAAAAATGCTCAATAATCTCATTAAACTTTGGTCTTCTCTTAATCTTTTTTAGAAGACTTGTAATGTTCAATCTATTCTTCCTATCGATGCGTCCATGACCTTCTTTGTACATGTACAAATCACCTCAAACAATTTTCTACCATTTTTTGGCCAATGGATGCCACTACTCTAACTCTTTCTTCCCAGATGCTTAATCAAGATCTAAACCTTTATAAGGATAATGTCTTCTTCTTTTTCCCCCCACTTTATGTGACTGATAATCACAGGAAGATCAAATTTTCTTACCGACTTCTAATAGTAGTATGGATAACACTCACCCTAGGCCAACACACTAACATGACACAGTAGTACATATGTGATGGGACCGATTGTTGAAGATATCTAATAATGGTGTTTTTGTTTTGTGGACGATGACATGCCGACACTGATATGAACACAAACTCATGTACGTGAAACGTGGGACGAGGATCTTCACATGTGGATCACAGTTCACAGCAGCTTCACTCGAAACATCTTTAATGAGCTCTCATGCAGATTTTCAGGGTTGATGTGTGATGTTCCCAGTTCTGGACGCACACTTGTATGATATCAATCAAAGCATATCTGAAATTATATTATTCATGTAAGAAAAAAAAAAAAAGGAAAGTAAGTAACTATTAATGGAAAAGATAATTAATGAGTTACTTGCGCATAGAACCTGATCATGATCCATCCAGGTTTTCAGATGAAATATTTAAGATTACGACTAGCTCTGCTTTTATTGAGTTGATGATGATGTCGTTGATATGGGATTGCCTACTTCTTTCTAAAATACTCATTGGGTGTAATTTAAGAGTTGATATTGATCTGGATATGTTTTACATATTTATCAATTTTTTGTCTAAATTAATCCTATTAATTTTTTCAATAATAATTAAGTGGGGGAGGAAGGGATTAAGAAAAATGTTTATAATGTTTTTTAAAAAAAAAATCATATTTTCTACTCAAATTAGTTAATAAAATCTTACATCAAGGACAAAAGAAGTGGCTTTTATATGGGTGGGTGTTACGAGGGCAAGCAGTTCCGGACCTTTCATCTTTCCTTCCCATTCTCTTTCCTTCTCTCCTTTTTCTAACCATTGGATTAATATTTCAATGGTTGAGGTTTAAATCTTTTTAAAACTATTATTAAAATATTAAATTATAAAAATAAATAAATAAATTATAAATTATAAACTTTATTAAATTTAATTTTAATGATTTGCAAATGTACTAAATATTTTTAAATTTTGTTTATAAATAGTTTATAAAAATTAAAATATGAACCATTATATAACAGTTAGAAAAAGAAGAGGAGGGAAGGGGATAAAAAGAAAAGAGGAGAGGTTCTGGACCAGGGTACAAGTAATAATTTTTAAAAAAGTTACATATTAAATAAAATCCATGCAAAAAATTTCATAAATATTACTCCTCCTGTTGTACTTGGAGTAATAACTATTTGATTAATTTAAGTTAATTAAAAAAATTAAATAAATCACTTAATTCTCACAAATGTCCCTCTCTAAAATGCTCCTATGACAAATATCAGAGCTAAAATGGACTTAAATTTGAGAAAAAACTGTATCCAACATGTTTATAAGGTAATTGGAGAATTTGTTTTGATACTATTTTTTATTTTTATTTTTATTTTCTTCTCACATCTATACCGTATAATATAGATGATGATTGTACTTGACGACTATTGGGTTGGAGATCAGATAATAATATATCTGTTTAGATAAACTAGTTTACGTTGAGAGTTGTACGTGTCAAAAGAATTTTGTGTTGGGTTACGTGAAAGTTGCTTATAGTATTCACGTTGCGTTCCAACGGATTCGGGATTTCCAAGAAAAGCGAGTCGAGCTTGCTGGTCCCCACAAAGATAAAGGCAGTGTACGAAGAGGATATGGTGATCCAGAGAGTCATCACCAATCGAACTAGAAGAGAAGAAGAGCAGCCCGGAAGAATTAATGATGAAAGAATCTGGCTTGTTAGTGGTGATATTTGCAGTAGCAGTGGCGCCACTGATAGTGTTTGGTGCGGATACATTTAGCAGACGTCACTTCCGCCGGACTTCGTGTTCGGAGCCTCCACTTCAGCCTATCAGGTTTTCCTCCTCCTCCTCGATTTCCGATTCCGGCGACCTTTCTGGAACCAGCAAAATGTAATAGAATAAAATAAAATAAAAGTCCGCATTTTTAACAAATTAATAAACAGTTAGATAGTATTTGCTGCGCTTTATGCTGTTTTTCTACTGATGGAGGAATATACGTCGTCGAAGGTTGAAGGTGCTGCAAATGAAGACGAGAGGGAGAAAGCCCAGCATATGGGATACATTCGCCCATGCTGGTAATAAAATGGCAAACTGAAACTCCGTGCATGTGCATGTGAGAATTAATATATAAGCATTGTTACTGTTTCCGAATTGCCACTTTGCTTAAGCATTTTTCAGTTGCTTTAACGATTGATGTGTCGAGCTGCTTTCAAGTTCTGAACTTTCCCTATGAATTTCCAAAAGTTCTATCACTACTTGTGATTTTAACTTTCAGGTTACGTAGGCGGAGCTGATGGAGACATAGCAAGTGATGAATACCACAAATATAAGGTCAGTTGATACGCTTTCTTACTTTATAAGTATAATAGGGACATTAGAGCCTTCACAATTCTTCATTGACAAGGCATTTATAGACATCGTGAAAATTTTCATATTTTAGTTCTGTTGATTTTTATTGTATGCTGTTGTTGATTTTTTAGTTTGTATTGCTTTGTAAATACCTGTATATCTACTGTGTAAGAGTGCGGTAATATGGCTGCCGCGTCTGCACTCAGATGCGCATTTTTAGAGTTTGTTCAAGATTAGGTAGTTTGGCTATGTAATATAGACTCTCTTTACAGCACTTCACTCAATGATGTTATAGTCCTAGTTTTTCTCCATCTCTGTTTTCTCTGTCTCGCTTCTCTATCACTCTGTAAGTTCATTCTGTTGCAGGAAGATGTGCAACTCATGGTTAAAATGGGCTTAGACGCGTACAGATTTTCAATCTCATGGTCAAGGGTTATTCCAGGTGCAAAGAGTTACACTAATTCTCATTATTCTCCTATCGTTTCAAACTCTTTCTCACCGTCTCTCCTCATATGTTTACAGATGGAAAGAGCAGTTAACCCTAAGGGAGTGCAATATTACAACAACCTCATTAATGAGCTCATAAGCCATGGTTATCTTCCTTTATTCCCTTGCATACTGTGATTTAATTTGCCCCTTCCAATTACTGATTTTTCTTTTCCATCATACAGGAATCCAACCTCATGTTACTTTACATCATTATGACTTACCCCAAGCACTTGAGGATGATTATGGAGGATGGGTCAGTCAAAGAATTATGTATGGCTTTTAAATTTTGAACTGTGATAAATTGTGTTACCGGGAGTTTATATCAAAAAAGTTTTATCGTGAGTACAATCTGACATACGTTGACATGGTTATTATTGCTTGCAGCAAAAGACTTCACAGCCTATGCAGATTTGTGCTTCAAAGAATTTGGTGACAGGGTTAAATATTGGACTACTATAAATGAGCCTAACGTTTTTGTATTGGGAGGCTATGACGCGGGAATTGCCCACCAAAGCGATGTTCTCCTCCCTTTGGAGTTAATTGTACTGTTGGAAATTCCTCAATTGAGCCATATATTGCAACCCATTACATACTGTTGGCACATGCTGCGCTGCTAGATTGTATAGGGAAAAGTATCAGGTAAACATATATGCACGTGTTGAAAATTAAAATAACCCTTCTTTTTGTTTGGAAAAAATGTAGTTTTCTTATTTGTTAAAAATTCTGGTTTTCTTCTTTGCTACTTACTGAGTTGTAATCATTCAGGATTTAAATTGTTCTGTCCAATTTTGTTATTAGAATAGGGTTAGAGGTTGTATATATGTGTGTGCGCGTAGGGTATGCTAATGGAGATAAACTTTTTCATGACAGGTTGTATAGGGTAGGCTGATAGGCTCTCAATAAGCTTTAATTACCTAGGCTTATCCTTTGTGTATATATGCCCTCCTCTCGGATCTAATAAAGTGTGCTTTGAATCATTTACAATTGTTATTGCCAGCTAAGATGCTATTTCCAACCCTTTAACTTCACATGTGGCATACTCCCCACATGATATTTCTATTAAATTCAATCAAATTCTCATTCTAAATTTTCTAACCACACAAACTGATAAACAAAACCTTTTATCCAACATTCCTTATGTGAGGGGCAAAAAACCCCAAATTCTGGGGACATTTACTTGGTCTTCTTCTTTATTGAACTTGAAAGAGGAGATATGTGAGCTTGACATCATTTATTGGTCCAAATCATTAGTTTTAAGTTTATAAAACTTTTCTACATATTCATCTCTTCTCTAGTTCAAATTTATCTAGTTTTTTCCACTCTTTATTCACATTTAAGCCCAACAATCCAGCAAATCAATAATCAGAAGGAAATTTTGAGACTAGGAACTTGAGTTGGGGGCCATTGGCAGTATGCTGTGTGAGAATTTAATGAATCTGAGGTGGCATCTCATGCAATAATGTTGATGGGAAGCCAGAATGAAGGATCTCAATGTCTATTTTTTGGAGGGTATTTTCAATTTCATAAGTTGAGGGAGGTATTTGCAAATGATACAAAATTGAGGTGAATTTACATTCTTGATTATGGTGGTTGTGATAATATAACACACAGAAAAAACGAGTACATTGCAGGATAAGCAACATGGATTTGTTGGGATCAATATCTATTCTTCTCATTATCTTCCTCTAACAAACACCATCGAGGACATAGCTGCCAGTCAAAGGGCCCCGGACTTTTTCATTAGATGGTAATTTCCTCAAATTCACCATGTCTGTCCAGACATCTTATTCTATGTCTGTTTACTAAGTAGTATAACTTCAAGGAATCATTCAAATGACAATATCACATGTCCTCGCTGGTTCATGAACTCATTGTATTGTCTTCAGTCATGCAAACTGATGCTGTCAAGTCTCTGTAATTTTTGAAAAAGTCAAGAGAAGTCTGAATAATTTACACTTACCAGTAGGATTTCTATCTCATGGAGTATTATTCTGTCTTGTGTTAGTTAGCTTAACAAGCATATGTTTTCATGCGTGTTAATTGACGTTGATGACTTGTTTTAATAGAGTTGCATTTACGCTTTGTTGTTGCAGGTGTTTGCATCCGTTGCTACTTGGAGAATATCCGGAAACAATGAAGAAGATCGTTGGCTCCAGACTTCCTTCATTCACCAAAACTGAATCAAACACTGTTAAAGGATCAGTTGATTTCGTAGGATTAAATTATTATAGCGTACTTTATGTTAAGAACAGATCAAGCAGGCCACAGATGGACGACAGAGACTTCATGACAGATATGGCTATAGAAATGGCAGGTAAGTTGAAGGCTATATTTGTGTCTAAGATATGCATTGCCACCAATCAGTACAATAGGATCTCTCTTTTTTTAAATAATCCCCATCAAAACAATAGAACGATTTGATATTCAAAATAGAATTCAATGGAGCGGACTGAAAAATTAAAACGAGAAAAATATGCATATGTATAATATCCTTTAAATCCCTAATAGAAAGGATAGTTGTTGAATAATGATAAAGAAGATACAAATATTTCATTTATCTCTATTTTTTTTTCCATAAGGGCATATCTTATTTTTTATGCTATGAAAAGTGAATCTATTTTCTACCAGACTCGCCTTTATTGTACTGCTAGGAATATTGACCCGTGAATGAGAATCTTTTAATTTATTTAACAATTGACTTGATAATTCCAGTGCCATTTAGTCAGGTTACTGATATATTGTCGCTGTTGATTTTTATTGATTGGTTCAGCCCATGAGTTTATGTGACCCTTGTCTTATGAGTTAGCTTGCTAGTCAATATTAATAGGTTGTTGGTTAATATAAATTGTCTATATTTATTTATCAAGTAAATAATTTCAAAAAAAGCCAAAAAAAAAAAAAGATGAGGATTGCCAACTTTCAACATTATGGTTGTGCTTGATTAGCCTATAAAAAAGCAGTATAAATACTATCACATCAGATCCTTAATGTAAGATCTAATTTGTAGTTAAACTAGAGGTAATATTACCTCCGTTCCTTAATATAAAAACAAGTTGACTAATTTGAATGGATTAAGGAAGTTTGTAAAGTTAGTTATTTATAATAATTAGGTGTTGTATTTTCAAAATACTCTTGTTAATCATGTGTATTAACTAAACTACCATTTAATTGAACCTTTAACATTTGCAACTACTACCTCCGGTCTTTATTATAAGACCCCATTTGACTTTTTATTGGTCCTAATTATAAGACCCCAATCCATTTGTCTCTCATATTTATGTATTTTTTTTCCAAAATAATCCTTCTAATAATGATAGTTCTAGCCAATACACTTAATTAGCAAGGATATTTTAGGAATGACAACACTTATTTATTACAAATAACTAACTTAACTTACTTCCTTAATCTCCTCAAATAAGTCAACTGGGTCTTATAATTAGAACGGAGGTAATACTACAATGACTACTTTAAAAAAATAGATAAGTATGAGAGACAAAGTGAATTAGGATTTTATATTTAAGACCAAATTAAAAGTCAAACTAGTTCTTATATTAAGAATTGAAGCTAATAGTTCATAGAGATTAGAGGAGAAACCTTCTGTGCTGTACATACTTGTATTAACGCCATCATTATTTGATAGAATCTGTCTTTCCGCTCCAAAAATTATTTTGCTTTTTGCTTGTTGCAGGTCCTTTAAATTCTTCGTCTGAGGTATGGAAAGCTTTTATTCTTTATTTGTTTTTTCCATTTTTTCCCCAGAGATGATAAAATAGCCAGACCTTTGCTTGTTGCCTTGTTGGATATGTTTTGAGTAACAATTAACCAGTTGGTTGGTTTTAGTTTCCCATTACCCCTTGGGGTTTACAGGGGTTGCTGGAGTTCCTCAAGCAAGCTTATTTTAATATTCCTATTTCCATTCATGAAAACGGTAATTCCTCTCTTTCTCTGTGGCAGACAGCTGAGTTCTTAGATATTTTTTTCCTCCAATTTGATCTCTTAATTACTCCTCAATTTGGTATTTCAATGGATTACTTGTAAATAAATTTTAAAATTTTTTGATGACATGAAATAAAATTTTTGATAGATTATTGATAGTATGTTTTCTGAATGAGAAGGAAATTTTATAATTTGAAACTTTTCAAAGAGAGCAGAGAATCTTTTTTTTTTTTAAATTATCATTTTTTCAAGTAAATTATATAATTTTTCTCTATACAAATTTTTATGAAATGGTATGCAACAACCTTTGTAACTACGCAGGGCAACGAACACTACGAAATTCTTCATTGAACGACTGGCCAAGAGTAAATTACTTGCAAGCACAAATTGGAGCAACGCTTGATGCATTAAGGTAAGCATAAGTGATACTAGCAATTTAGAACCCTCACTTCCATCTTCAAAGTTTATCAACACAATCTTTAATCTCTCTGTTTTTTTTTTTGGGTTCTCTTTTTCATGCAAAAATATTTGACATGGTCAAAGAAATGGCTCCAATGTAAGAGGTTATTTTGTGTGGTCCTTCTTGGATGCATTCGAGTTGTTTGGTGGATATAGTTCAAGTTATGGTCTATATTATGTTGATATGGATGATCCAAATTTGAAAAGAAGGCCGAAGCTTTCTGCCACATGGTACTCCCAGTTTTTAAGTAAAGCCACCATGGATCAAGAGCAGCTCATTGAACTTGAGAAGAGTTCATCTCAATTCTTGCGTGTTAATTCTTCTAAGCGCACAAATGCTTGCACTGTGTAATTTGGATTCCTTAGAATGTCAAGTTTGTAAAAGGCGTCTCAACATAAGAAGTGATGCATTATGATTTATGAGTGTCTCTATAGCTTCTAAAATAGTGTTTATAGTACCTACGCATGTTAAATATTTTATCAAATAGTATTTCTAGTTAGTACATATAATTAGAAAGAGTATTTTAGAAAAAATAATACTTATTTATTACAAATAACTAACTTAACTAATTTTCTTAATCTACTCAAATTAGTTAATTAGCTCTTATATTAAGAACTAGAGGTAGTATTATAATTGAAAAAAAAAGAACTATATTTTCAAAAGCAATCTTTTTTTTTTGGTTTTCATGAAACCATGGTTTGGGTGGGTCAAACCATGGTTTCATAAAAAATGTGGAGTGTTTGGCAATCTAAATCCTAAAACCATGGTTTGAGCTCCAAAAGTGATTTTGGTAAGGTTGCCAAAACCCCTAACACCTTCTTTTGGAATAACTTTTGGCTAAATGTACTGTACTTTTGTTATAATAATTTGTAATGTAATTTATGCATTAAACTTGAATTTGCACATAAACAGGATATATATATATATATATATATATTGCATTTCTATGGAATTGGCATCATTTTATTTTTCATAAATGAATAAATTCTACTTAAAATGTGTTAGAGACAAACCCTAAACTCCAAAAATTGTCTTAAAATGGATTAGAGACGAAAATTTTCAACTCAAGTTTCATTATTTTTAAGCAATAAAATCCTTTTTACAGGAGGAATGATTTAAATAAACTGAAATCCATCCATTCATATGTCAATATTACCATACCCCCTCATTGATCAAGAGATATGAGTTTTGCATATTCAACATGTCAAGATGGTTTATGGTTAGCAATAGTAACAATTTATTTACATACTAACAAATGCTTAATAGCTTGAAATAAATCAAAAGTTGTTAACCCAATTGTTCTGGCTTTGCAAAACTACACAGACAAAAATAAAAAATATTACATAAAAATTATAAGCACTAAAACACAAATCTAACCAAGAAAAAAAGTTGAAATAATATTTAACCAAAATCCCCAAATTTCCTATGTATGTATATACATACAACAACCAAGACAAGAAGCTTAGACATGATAGATAGTTAGATACATTAAGCAACACCAAGAAAACCCTAACGATTCATGCTTCACTAGTCCTTGCTCCTTACTTACATTAAAATTACAAGAGCTATCTTCCAAACACATTGATTTATTTGGAAGCCCCATTTCACACGAAAGGTACACATTGTTATATACACATACCAGAGCATTTCTAGTGTTTCTAGCTTCACTTTTGACAGATATCTTCTAGTGACTGAAAGGCCTATTCCCCCCCACACCACACACACAGACCTACTTGAGAGGTGGGTCTCACTATTCTTTCTATCTTTCTCCACACTGGATCCTTAAATCAGAGGAGATCATACCTCATGCTACTTTGAAGCTCTCTTGCAACCACCTGGCATGAACTTGCATTCCGGCTTCAGTTAAAGCATTCAAAGAAGACTGATACAACCTCTCATCCAATCCTGTTCCTTCCATCTTCATGTCCCTTAATAGTCTTACTAGTTCATCAACTTGTCCAACCTTTGAGAACACCATCACCATCATGCCTGCCATAGCCCTATCAATCTCTCCACCATTCATTCTGTACTCCTTGAAAAACTTGATGCATTTTTCAAACTCTCTTGCCTTGCTATACGCTACAATGATGCTCGTGTAGGTAACCTTATCCGGCGCGACTTTCCTTCGCTTCATTTCGTTCCATAGCTTCTCAACCTGCCTCAAGTCCTTTACCCTCCCGTGCATGTCTATCAAAGAATTGTAAATCCACACGTTGGGATTGCACCCTCTTTCTTTCATCTTAGCCACAAGCCTCATGGCTTCTCTTAGCTTTCCTGTTCTTCCATACATCACAACCATGCTTGAATAGGCCACAACACATTTATCATAGCCCTTTTGTTCCATCTCTGAGAACACCTTCTCTGCTTCAGTGTATTGGCCAATACGACAATAAGCATTTATGATTGATGCATAGGTGACCTGTCCTGGTTCATGACCTTTTGAAACTAATTGCTCATAAACACTGATAGCAGCTCTAAATCCTCTCCTCTTGCTGAAGCCATTTATAATAGCACATAGTATGCAGTCAGTAACCTTGATACCTGCCAATGCAGAATCATTAGCTCCGGTATCAGTATATGCAATGTGAAACAAGGAAATATTGTAGTAAGCAACATGACTTCAAGTAATCAAAAGGAGGGGTTGGTTTTTGGGTCTATCTTCTAGAAATAAACTTGATTTTTGTGGCAACCTTTTTTGGACCATGAAGAAGGTGATTATAAGTAGATCGAGCTAACTTTGATAAAGATGGCGGGTTTGGTTTGCGAGTGAAAGCAGATAACAAATGCAACTAAAAGTGGGCTGTACTAGTACGGTAAGAAAACAGTCATCATGTACCCTGTAATCTGTGACATTTCCAGTGCTTATGTGCTTAGAAGCGCATCTTCTCTCTTCCACTGTAATGTGTTGACTGGCTTTCTTTTGACTATATGTTTGGTTTTGGAAAATATGCAATGAAAAATGAATGACAAGAGGGAATGAAATAAACGAGAAATAATAAAAACTCAGTCCTATTAACTTGCAGCATGTATGTACATATATCTCATTCAAGATGAAGTCTTTGTTTGCAAATAAGTCAATGTAAAGTAGTAATGTCTGTATCTTATGACAAAAAGAAACTCTATCTTAAATCTCCTAATACATATAATTCTAGTTAGAGTGGACAAAATATGAACAGTGTGCAGCTTCCTACAATTTATATAGATATATATATTATCCCTTAATCAAAACTCAATTAAAGAATCAGAATACGTAAGGCATCTGCATCACCTGCATTTTCCATTGTTTTAACTACTTCAAGAGTCTTCTCCATTAAACCTTCGTCAACGTACATCAACACAAGTTTGAAGTACACCTCTGGATCCTTTATCCTTGTTTTCCTCTTTGCTTCTCTAAGAAGCTCCTCTGCTACATCCACCTTACGCAAACTTGCAAAGGAGCATATTAATGTAGAATATATAGAATCATTAATAACCCCTCTTTTATTCATGTCCCTGAAGTACTTTAGAGCTTCGAATGCTCGTCTTGATTGGCCTAATGACTCACATAAAATGCCATATATCACAGACCAATATCTTTTTGAAGTAATCAATGATCGTTCACTTCCAAGTTCTTGAAACAACTGGACCACTTTGTCACTATCACCAAGTTTCATGTAAGCCTCCATAGCGTGTAGATAGCATCTGGAATAATCTGCAACAGTTAACTTGGTGGATATCATGCGTTCAAAGACTAAAACACTGCTCCTATACATATGAAGCTTATTGTAGCTTCTCAAGGCGGAATCAAAAGCTGAAACAGCAACTTCAGTACTTTGAGAATCCTGGAAAACATCAAGAAATGCCTCGGCAATCCTGAACTTCCTAGATCTTATGCATTTACTAATCAATATAGAACATGTAGCTACATCAGGCAACACAGAATAAATCTTCAGGTCTTCTGAAACAGATAAAATGGAGCCCCATTTCCTAAATCTCAGCAAATACCTGATCACATGCTCTAAAGTTGATTCCTCTGGTCTAAACTCAGGCCTCTCTTTCAATCTTTGATAGTATTCATACCCAAGTTCCTCCGTTTGAGGATCTTCAAATAACCCACAAACGAACTCATTCAGATTCTCAGCACCAGAAGGCTTTGAGTACTGCGACACATCATCTGAAAATTTCACATCGAATTGGATTACAGGAGCATGGGGTTGACATGCTTCTTCTTCCAAGATCGGAGTGGGCGAGCCTGAGAACCTAACAGTGAAGAATCGAGGATTGGAGTGAGGAACAGAGGAAAAGGAAGCGAATTGAGAAGTGGGTACGAGAGTATGAAGAAGGTGGTAGGTTCTTCTTCTGCAGCAGTTGGTAGTTGAAGCCAAAGACCAGTCTGCAGAACTGGAAATGGCCATTATTGTTAATGAAGGGATAAGATTTGGAAGAGAATAGTGTATAGAAAAGGTTGGTTCCATATATACCTTATCGTCCACTAGATTTCGTCACGCATGGGAAGGTCATTGGCCACTCAAAATTTGACGAGTGGAACAATGGCAGGCATAGAATTATCTGCTTCCATGGAAGCCACGTGAGTTATTTGCAGCCAAGCTACCCTGTTCGCAATATTTTATGAACAAATTATATATTGTCTACGGTGCCCCCGGAGCATTGGCTTGGAAAAGTCTTAAAATTTTGGGAATTCACAAATAAAGACCTCCAAATTACTGAAATTACACAGAGGTCACCTGAATAAGTAAAATTACCATGAGGGACTCAGTCTCATATTGTAAATATAAAATATTGATGAAATGTCTGAAATGCCCCTCAGTCAAATGACAAGTTGACTATAGGAAATGACAAGTTTATTTTAACGAATAACAATTTTAGTAGATCAAATCACAACTTGATTGAAGGTATGTCAAATGACAAGTTGACTATGGGAAATAATAAGTTTATTTTAGCGGATGACAACTTCAATTGTATGTGTTAATTTATTTTTTCACTATCCTTAATATAATAATAATTAGTTTTACATTTAATTTGATCCTAACTAGTTTGATATTTAATTTGATCCTAAATATAAACTTAAAATTCACTCTGTCTTTTATATTTATCTATTTTTTCAAGATAATCCTTGTAGTAATTACACATATTAAAAGTTATATTAAATGGAATTCCAACTAATACACGAGTATTTTAGGAAAGACAATACCTATTTATTACAAATAAATAACTTAACTAATTTTTTAATCTATTTAAATTAATTAACTAGATCGGTAGTATTGTCTTAGATTATTTTTAAAAAAATGGACTTTGATTTTTTAATTTAATTTAAAATTTCCCATGTCCTTTTTGTGAAAATTTTTTATATGTATGATATTTTTTTCTGCCATCTACATTGTAAAATTATTAAAAATATTAATAACAAAATATCAAACTATGTATTATTTTTTAAAAATAATTCCCCTCATTTATATGTGGGAGAATGACAGAAAAAGAAGTTGAAAATTACAAATTTCAAATTGGGTTTAGTAAAATATAACTTTAATTGGTATTAACAAGTCTGAATTTACAAATGACAATAAATTTTTATTGATATTTCTCGTTTGGTATTTACAAAATTTCAACTTTTTTTTGGTTATTGTCCCCATTTATATCCTTCTGGCTTCTTCCTATTTCCTTCTCTCCTTTTTTTTCCCCGGTTTGGCAAGCAGTTTTTTTTTGGTTTGGAAATTTGGTAAAAAATGCTTGTTTAAAATTTAATTGACTAAAAAGACTTAAATTTGAGTGCGTACAAGTGTAATCTATGGGTGTAATAAATTTTCCGTTGTGTGCAACATATCTTTTGCTATGTGCAACAACTCTAGTATTAATAATTATTGCACATTATTGATGATATGTTACACATAGCGGAAGATATATTGCACTTACGGACAAATTACACTTGCTTAAATTTGAGTTCTTTTAACCCACTAAGTTTTTAAACAGGAACTTTTAGTCAAATTTCTCTTTTTTTCACTTTTTATAAAACATTAGTATTTATTGACAAAAAACTAGTATTGTGAAAAATGTGTATTTTAAGTATTTCATTGAAAATTTAAATAAAAATAAACATTTTTTATGAGCACATTCGAAAGCCAATAAAAAACACATCTAAATTGAACGTAATTAAGTCCTAAAACAGAACCTGTGATTGAAATGAAAATAAATAAAAAATAAATAATTTCTGGTGTGAAGCCTGAAAACCTCTGGTTTGGCAAGTCATCTAGATCGGGCTTAGGTTTGGGGGCTGCTTTGACCTGCCGAGGACCTCAGGTATGGTCTCAGCTTTGGATTCTTAATCTTTCCCTCCTCTTCTCAGCATAGCCGTTGAGTTCTGGCTAGTGGTTTGTCCTCCTTTTCCTCCTCCAACTCTCTTCTTCTACTTCACTGTATAACTCAATTTAATGGGTTCTTTCTTCTCCATTTCTAGGAACCAAGTTTTTCTACTTAAGGTGGAAAATCATCAGGGGAAAGAAATTCCCGAATTTGGCTGACTTTGGAGTACGAAATCAGCCTCTATTTTTCATTTTCCGAGTCAGTGGAAAATGGGGACTAGGGTTCCTGTGCAGCACTATAATCTCAACTCTCCCACTTCGTTCATTGAGGGCCCACTCCACGTTCTCAACACCGTTGAGAGTAGAACCTCCGATATGGATGACATCGAAGCCGAGGTCGATCGTGAAGCTGTCACCGAAGATAGCTTGGACAATGATAATGATACTGGTGCCGTCGTAAGTTGTATTGCCTGGTGTCCCCCCCCCCCCCCCTATTAAGGAAAAAATTTCCCCTTAGTTTAAAGCCTAAAAGTGGGAGCCGTATCTTGTCCAATGCATATGCGGTCTTTCTATCAGAGCTGATACATAACTTCAATTTTCATACAAACACTGCAGAATTTGTTCTTTCACGCTATTTATGTGATTCATGTCCTGTATCCTTGTCATCATGGATTGTCTCCGTTGTGCATAGTTTATTCAACTTTTCAGGCAGCGGGTTGATGGGTGGGCTTGAGCAAGAAAGTATATGCTTGTGGTTGTAGAGTAATTTAATTATACATATGATTTGTACTTGTTTTGCAGGACTGCATGCATGAACCCCATAGGAATTCCTTACCACTTCACAATGTGGAAGTTGAAGAGGATCGCTCCAGTCTCGAGAACAACGACTCTTCAAGGGACCCTTATAATATCTTGACCATTGATGGTGAAGTACTAAAATTTCTTGGACTTGTTTATTCTTTTAGTTGATAGGAATTTTTGTCTTTGGGTTAAATATATGTGATCATTTAAGATGAAGTTGTTGCAAACTCATTTTATCGCAACTTCAAACTAGATGTTTCACCCATCGAATCAGCCAGGGCAAGATTTCTACAAATTGTTGTGGATCATTTTATTGATGACCATGTAATTGAAGTGGCTGATTCTGAGGCTGATTACACTGCTCAGTGTGGGCAAGATAAGCTCAATAAAAGGAAGACAAGAGAGGCCCAGTATGAAGGAGATCCTAGTTTTGCTTTACCTCTGATGTATATTGCAAACATGTACGAAAGCTTAGTAAATGATGTCAACACCCGGCTTGCTTCCTTGAATGGCATTCGTGAAAAGACAATTGGGGTAGCGCTAGAAGCAGCTGGTGGTTTGTACCGAAAACTTGCCAAGAAATTCCAAAGAAAGGTACAGAAATCTCCGCCGCCTCCCCCCCCCCCCCAAAAAAAAAAAAAAAAGAAAGAAAATTATGAGAATTGAATCAGTCCTCAGACTAGTCGAGGAATTGGTTCAAAGTTCACTAGTGGGACCGTGGTCAAACCAATCATAACTAACCTAATATGCTTTTAATTTTATCTATAAAATAAATAAATGCATAATAATGAGATGTTCTATAAGATTTAAGTTTACGCACTCTTCTGTTACTTACCCTCTAAGATAAGAGTGAGTTGGGCATTTTTGGGAAACTAATGCATTGTGATGTGGATGGACTTCTATTTATTTTTCTTCACGAGTTTTTGATTCACTGATGTCTTTATCAAGCTGCTCCCCGTCAGGACCATGTACATACAAGAGAAGAGAATTGGCAACTTCCATGGAAACAAGGACAAGGTTTCCAGAACTAGTAATTCAAGAAGAGAAGCGTGTCCGCTTTGTGGTAGTCAATGGTTTGAATATTGTTGAAAAACCAGATGCCATGCCTATTGATGATGCTGAGTGGTAAGTTGAGCATCTTGGTGTTTTACTTTACCAATTGCAAATGCTTGTCTGACTTGTCTGTTTCAGGTTTAAGAGATTGACAGGTCGCCATGAGGTTGCTATCTCTGCACGTGACTATAAATTTTATTCTCCAAGACACAAGTTTAGGCGTACAGCATCAAACATGATGGCCAATATCTCTGGTCTACCTGTAAGCATAATATGGCTCATTTTGGCAATGAAACGCTCCTTCTAAACTTCTAAGAGAAGTTTCTGTGACTGCAACTTTTTAAGCATTACTAAAAATGCAATTTCTATGTATGAACCTTGGCAATGAAGTTCAGTTGGCTCAGCTCAAATTATTAATTTATGCGCTTGGCTATTTTTGACTCCATATGATCATGATTGATATTCATAAAACCACGTCAATAGCTTGGTCATACAATATTGAGAGAGTAACTGCATTCTAGTTTATGGGCTTTTGTAAATCCAAACTTCATTTAGTGTTTCATGGTCCTGACTTGACTCAATTCTGCAGAGTTATCCTGGAGCTGACAACTCGTCTACATTGAGTACTTCTCAAGGATTTCGCTCTGTAAGTGAAGCACAAGTTAATTTGCTTTTCTTATAAGTTTGTCTTTCAATTGGTTGGTCAGCAATTAGTGTTTTTGTCACTTCAAACCAATTCATTTGAAGATTGCAGAGATGACGGTAATCATTGTAACCACATTTACAGTTTTGTGGCCGTTGGGGTCTGACGTGCCCCAGTCACATGACTACTTGATACCTGTCTTTTGCATCATCTCAATTACATTTTGATTCATTTGATTTCCCAGTTCACCCTGCAAAACTTGTTGCTGAGGTTTATTATCTGTGCAAATTGTACTATTTTGACAACTCTTATCAATACAGATCACCTTATCAGTTTTGCCGAAACATCAACTATTGCATGGTCTAGACGAGAACAGTTGATTGAATTGGTGATATCATGTCACCATATTGTAAGGGGGAATGAAATTTCCTATAATATCTAGATTTAGAAGAAATGGAAAAAGAAAAAGAACAAAGAAGGAAAGAAAATTTGAAATGTTTGGTTAGACAACAAGCGGAAAGGAAGAAATAAATATGATGGTTAAAGTTAAAGATTGTATCCTTATTTTCTCTTGAGATCAAATTCTTTATATTCCCCCCATGCCCCTATTTTCACTGCAATCTTAATGGTTAATGTGAAATGTGAATCTTCCACTGAACTGACGAGAAGACATGACTGATTTTGATCTTGCTGATGCGTTAGAAATTTAGAACATAGGCACCATTTTTATTTCTTCATGTATTTTCAGCAGCAAACTCCATGCAAACATCACATGCAAGCTTGGCTCATCAGCCTCAGTTTCATCCAGTTCACCAGAACCATCAAACTATGCATCAGAGTCAGCATGCAGGCCCCTATTCTCACAACAATCACTGTGGTCCTTCCTCACACTTACCTGAAATTTCTCATGCTCACCAGTCACCAACAATATCTCAACAGTTGCCCTGCTTACAACCACTCACAAGTGGCCATGTTGGTGGACGCCTGCATATACTGGTGAGTATATTTTGTAGAAATTGAGGGTTTTTTCCCCTTCAAACTCTATTGAATGAAAATAGTTGTGTGTGTGTGTGTGTGTAAAAAAGGAGGCAAAAAACTCTGTAATTTAAATCTCAAGAATTGGTCACCATATGGTAAAGCTAACAAAACGAAACTTCCTATGATCTGAGATTCTTGTATGAACCAAAGCACTAAAAGTGCACAGTGATTTCAGGGTGTTTGGATAAGTTGGAAACCAGACTGATCTAGAAAGATTCAAGTTGGTGAAATGTAGGTCATTGACCCAAGTAGAAATGAAAAAAAATGGCAATGAACGCACAAGAATTTAGAGGGAGCTTAAGGCTCCGAAGCCATGACAAGTTGTCTCGAATTCTTATGGATGTTCATTGAAGCATAATACATGGGTGCTTATAGGTATCAGTGAAGCTGCGATAAGGCAATTGCAAATCTGGAGACAAGGGACCAACGAGATAGCTAATATGCACATATGCCAAAATAGTTCCATTATCTACGCTATTTCTAGCAGTAATAATATCTGAGAACTATAAAAATACCAGCAACGATGTCACTTTTAGGGAAATGTGAATGATGATCCCTTATTTATGTCAATGTCTTTCCGAATCCAATTAAAATGAATTTGCTTCTATATTCTGATAAAAGGCACATTTTACTCATAATTGCTATGTTTTATGTGTGTGTGATTTGTGTTTCGGCCCTGCGCTTGTTTCTTATTTTTTAGGCTCTTATTTTATTTAATGAATGCAGATTTGCGATTTTATCAATTCGTTGTAATTCTTCTGTTGTTGCTCTGGGCTTCTATCATAGTGGAAGACTCAGTGTTATCTTGTTATGCTCCATGGGAGTTTAGCAGGGCAATTGATTTTGATAATTGAGATAACTTGATATTGTGTAACTGCTGTCCTTTTCCTGACTGAGAAGCTTTACCATTGCGTTGCAGCCATCGAGTCCTGCAAAGTTTTGTGATGAATGTGGGGCCCCATTTCTGAGAGAAGCATCTAAATTTTGCTCCGAGTGTGGTTCAAAGAGGTTTGGAATATGATATTGAGTGTTCAAACTTCGAAGTGCAGCCATATTCGTGAGTTGGGTTTGTCCTCACCATTCGTCCTAGTTCTGATCAAATGTCTTCATAGTTCATGTATAAATTAGCTTTCCTAAGCATTTTCACATTTTTGGGAAATGCATTTAATCATGTAAATAGTAAGAGAAAATTGTTTGCATTAGCGTGCGTGCGTGCGTCGACGCAGTCCTTTGATAGTTCTCACTTTCGGGCGACTAGAACAAATAACCTTTGGATTTACTCCCTCACTTTAACTTCTTTCCCATAGACCAGGGGACATGGTAGGTTTTGGAGGTTGTCTGGGATTGAAAGATGGGCTTAATAACAATTGGATCAACTTTTTGTAATAAAGATGTGCTTAAATTATAATGATAATTATAAATTACCTATTAACAGAGGGCTTGCATTAATAGTAAAATTTAAACTCAAGCCTTAATGACTTGTAAATTTCATTCATCAATTAGACCAATTTTTTTTATTAACAAAAGAAATTTTAAAAAGAGACTTGTTTTCCTGAGAAAAAAGAGGCTAGGGTTTTTTCTTGCGAAGACGAGGGGAAATGCACCCGAGCTTTAGGTTTTAAGTGACAGAAGCTGTTTGAAAAGGAGACTTATTTAGTTGTGAGAGGGAGTAGCGAGTCATGGGGTGGATAGAGACGATTTTTTTCTTGTTGATAAGAGACAATTGAATTAATTAGCTGTGGTATTGAAAACCAAGAACATCACAAAACAACAGATCCAATCAAACTCGAAAACCAAAAAGGGCAAATATAAGAATTTTGAGATAAGAATTAAGAGCGGGCCGGGTTCGTGAAGAAGGCAAGATTGTGCTTTATTTATATATCACGAGGGTGAAACTCCAACTAAAAAAGATGATTAATCATTTGCTTGCCTTGTCAAGCGAGAATGCTCAGAATGTAACACAAGCGAAAACAAACAAGAAAAAGGAAAATATCAAGATAGCAACCTCAAATGGTACCCTTCTAATGTGAAACCACATTACTTTTAAGGACCACCGGCCTAATAAATATTCTCTATAAATCATGTAGTGTGAACTTCAACCAACTGTACTTTCTCCACTAAGGTTGTTGGGCTAAGTTGTGGGATGAGTCATGCATTCTTTCGTTCGCTGGGCTTGGGTTGCCATCAGTTGCAGCTCCCTTGAAAGCTAGCTCGTCCTCAAGGTAAAGTCTAAATGATGAATGAGCACTCAGCCAAGAATGCAAGTATGCAAGAATTCCTCTAGTGCCTATCATGAAAGTAACCTTCCCAACATTGAAGATAATTCGAACGTACCTCCAATTCAAGCCTGTTGGCATGCACAAGTAATTGGTTCTCATACTTGGTTCTTAGTCAAAAACTGTTTATGCATGAAATAAGAGTATGATATGGAGCCTGTGCAGAAAAATATATATTATAGCAGACCATCTAACATATACTTGCAGTACTTATTAATTCCAAATAAAAAGATCCATAACTCCAGCAGCCCGATTATGAAACAAAATAACTACATCCAACATTTTGATTTGTACAAATATCCAAGATATGCAGACTTCCTAGAACTCTCAGTTGTCAGATGTATGTGGGAGAAAGTTGAGGGTGCAAGTGACACATAGGACTCATCTAAGGATAAAGAGAGAGCTCAGGAGTTGCAAGGGTTAGCTAGCTCAATCAACAATGTAAGTTGTTATTACGGGGAGCTGGAACAAAGCTTAAGTGGGGTAATTTTAATAGGTTAGGAACCCTTGTTAAACGCAGGAAGCTAGAATAGGAAGGTTAAGGTGATCGTGGGTACTGGATTTGGGACGCGAGGGAAAAAATGGGTAATTTTTATTGCAAGGGTTTGGGACTACTCCTGATTTACTTGGCAGTTTATTTTCTGGTCTTCGGACTCAGGCAGTTTAATATTTCTTTGGAATTTGCAGGTGGCACCTATAGTAGATTTTCTTAGGGCATTTCTTCCTTGTCAATTTTGTTGGTTGCTACAAGGAGGTATGATTGATGCCTTGCGTCTTTTAATGGTCCTAATTGACATAGATTTTGGCATCAAATATTGGATAAGTTTATGTTCATGGATTAAGGATGAAGATCAAGGCAACATTAAATGCTTACTCCTACATTAAATAGTATTTATTATTCTATAGATTGCTTAACTGGGTTGGTTTAATAGCTAAGGAGGAGAATTCCCCACCAATGAGTGGCAAGTAGCTCTAAAAAGGACATCTTGACTGGTGAGGAAGCCAAGTGAAGTCTCAGCACGATATAACTGTTCGAACATCAGTTCTCCAAAGGCAATCAATTAATGGAGATCAAGGCAATATCAGATGCCTAATCTGGAATTGAGTAGTATCAGCTGCTCAATAGGGACATTCATTAGATTGTTTCTTATATCGCACTTTGGTGCCTAACTGTTACTAACATAAGCAAGCCCCATTCAGATACATCCAACAGAGAGGAGAGGAAAGGGAAAAGAGTTGTCGAAATTCATGTTGTTAGTTTTCACTAGGTGGTTTTAGGATTTACCATTAGCATGAGAGGATTCCTACGCTCTATCTTATTATAGAGAAAGCATAGCGGGAATCCACGTCATTAGTTTTCGTCTAAATTAGGAGGTTTTAGGATTCCCGTTACCATGACTATGAGTGGATTCCGACACTCTTCCTTATGGGGTAATGAGAAAGCATTGTTTCTAAACTTACTAGAGTAATGAGAAAACATTGTTTCTAAGCTTACTTATTTTATCTTATACTACCTCTAGCCTTAAATATAAGAATTAGTTGACGATCTTAACTATAAGACCTCAATCCACTTTGTCTCGGTGTCTCCCAAATTTTTAATGTGTTCTCAAAAATATCCCTATTAATTGTAAAGTATTTTCACCCAAGTGTAGTTTCCATATATATGATTGAAAAGGTAATTTAGGAAAGTCAACACACGCTTGTTACAAATAACTAACTTAACTAATTCTCTTAATCTCCTCAAATTAGTTATCTAACTCTTATATTAAAGATCGAAAGTAAAAGATAATTTTCAGCCAATCAATATTATTCCTAGGTTCACTAGTTATTATACGAAAGGCTTTCAATTAGTCATTTCACTTCTAGGAAATCGGGGTAAGAAGGTGGATGGAATTGAGATTGAAAACCTAAGAAGAAATTGACCCATCCAACATGAGTTCAGAAGGAATGATGATACTCAACTCCGAACACTTGTCTGCTTATAGGGATCGAAGAACTATAATGCACAGTCAAAGACAAAATATCTTTTGAGAGTCATTTGGGGGGGGGGGGGGGAGCATAAAGAAGCAACCATTTATATTGCAAAATCCAGCACACTTAAAAGACAAAAGAAAAACGTGTTTTCTCAGATAAAACTAGGGACCATTTACCATGGAAAGATGTTTCCTGACCGTAAAAAGGGATAGTTCCTGCCCTGAAATTCTATAATAAATATGCATATGAACACCATAATGGCTGTAGTGATGACACAATTACGATGATTATGCTAATATTTTTCATGTATATATTAAGCTGAAAATGTTTAAAAAGTATAAAATACCTTGTACATCTAAGTGATAAAAGAATCATCAACTGTAGCTGAAATCCTTCACATCTTCCACATAAGTTGTTGTTCTGACATGGTTGATTCCTGCAAGGAACAATAAACAGTGGAAAATCTTCATGGAGCTTAATAGTCGCAAGGAAAAGGCTCTAACTTAATAATTTACAATGAAAGTGCCCAGTAAAGAATATAATTCAAAATTTTAGGCAGACGGTCATCACTCACCGAGAAGAACTATCCTCAGGAACAAGAATATCATTCTCTGGTCTCATTACACACAAAAGTTTGCAAGGGGAACCCTGGAAGCAGAACTCACACAAGAGTACCTTCCAGAAGCATCAAGTGGAACTGGCAATTGCCCTTCCATAATTAGGCACCATATTCTTTTGAATTATGTTATTCAATCCTGGAATCAAGCCTCAAAATCCTAATTGCTGGGTCACTATAACTGGGAAAAATGGACTAAGAAAAACAAGATTTCCCTCTTAAGTGTGTACAGAAAAAGCTGTAACATCAAAGGGTCCAGCAATCAGGCTCCTCTTAATCATATCATCTTGCAGAGCCAGAGCATCAGTTATGTCTCCTAGTTCATAATATTTTCTCAATAGACGAATACAAAGAACCTCATCAGGAATTATGTTCTTTGCAACCATCTCATCAAGCAATGACTTTGCCTCTTGTAAGAGACCACAGTCACAATAACCCGAAATTAATGAAGTATAAGTAACCAAATCTAACTCCATACCCATTTCAACCATTTTCACCCGTAAACATGAAGCTTCTTGTGGATTTTTATGCTTCAGGTTCCCATCAATCAAAGCAGTGTAAATAATTTTATCTGGACTCATTTTCTCATCCAGCATTTCATTGAACAGCTTTTTTCCTTCTTCAAGGCAATTATTTTTACAAAGGCCGTCAATCAAAGCAGTATAAATCATTATATTAGGTTGCAGACCAATGCTCTTCATGTGGCCAAAGTAATTAACTGCCTGCTGGATCAATCCCTTTTTGCATAAGCCATCTATTAGTACACCAAAGGTTACAATTGTTGCCTCAATGCCCAGTTCCTGCATTTCTTGAAACAGATTAAGTGCCTCTGTCGTTTTTCCAACCTTAAAATATGCATCCATAAGGGTTGTGTATATATAACTATCTGAAGTTAGACCACAATCCTTTAACTCATGTATTACAGCCTCTGCTTCTTCAATCTTCTTCTGCTTGCAAAGGCCCCATATTATGGTTCCGTAAAGCAATATATCTGATTTGATGCTTTTCTTCTTCATTTCTTTCAAAATATCCATTGCTTTCTCAGGCATCTCAGCCTTAGCATATCCATGAACAAGGGCAGTATAAGTTTTTATATTAAGAGCCACTCCAGCTTCTAATATTCCCCTGTATAACTCCTCTGCTTCTTTCATCCTACCATCTTCACAAAGACCGTCCAATAAAGTGGTATAGGTCACATTGTTTAAGCTGAGTCCAGCCTCCAATATATCATTTGCCAGTGCAAATGCTTCAACCATATTACCTAGTTTACAGTTTGCATCAATCAGAGACGTATATGTAACTTCATTAGGTAAAAGACCAAGGCGTCTCATGTCAACAAAAAATTTGATTGCTTCCAGCATCATACCTGCCTTGCAAAATGCATCAATAAGTGTACTATAAGTTATAACATTTGGTTTCAACTCCCTTTTCTTCATCTCATGCAGATAAGCAAAAGCTTGAGGAATTCTTTCGAATTTGCAGAAGCAATTAATTAGAGAATTGTAGGTTATCACATCCGGTTCACATCCTACACCTTTCATTTCCTCAAATATATCAACTGCTTCATGTAATAAGCCTGCTTTTCCATGTCCATCAATGAGAGAATTATATGTCACTATGTCTGGAGTGAGGCCCATCCGTTTCATTTCTTCAAAAAAATTCCTAGCAGTTTCTAAATCTCCTTCTTTACTCAAATATCCTATCATTATATTATATGTGAAAATGGTGGGTGAAAGGCCAGCCTCAACCATGTTCCTGAAAAACTTCATGGATGATTCCTTTTTACCTGCTTTCGAAAGTCTATGCAAAAGCTCATTACAGGATCGCACTTTTGGAAGAACCACGAACTTCTTCATCTTCCAAAAACATTGACTAGCTTCTTCAAGCATTTCCAACTCAACTAATACGCTAAATAAACAATCAAATACTCCATAGCCTGGACGGCAAACATTCCTTGTCGAATACAACATATCAAACAAATCATAACCTGGCAGTGTTATATTTAGCAAAGTTAGCTCCCTAAGTATCTCTCTTGCATCAAGGTAAAAATTCCCACAAAACAAAATGTGAGCCACGATGCAATACGATTCGCTGGTGTGGCGGAAACCGATTTGGCTTCTTGTCCACTTAAAGAACCTCAAGGCAAGCTTCGGATCGTCCTTCAATTTCCCCAAAACCTTGCACACCCAAATGGGCGCTAATGCTGATGTAAATATACTGGCCATTTTTGGATCATCCCAATGGCCATTTTGTGACATGCTTCGCAATGAGTCAGAGGTAATGTCATCAATACAACCTTGGGGGCTTGACTTGGAGACAAAAGGGAATCTAAATACAAAAAGAAAACTAGTGAACCAAACCAAAGGGCAAGCAATGAAGGAACTACGTGACAATGATGACGATGATGAAGCACCAGACGCACTAGGGTTTTCAGAATATGAAATAGCAAATGAGCTCACTCGGAGGGAAGTTCTCCGACCAATTTGAAAGAGGTTGCGCATAAGAAGCAACATCTTGGATAGTAAGGAGATCAAAATGCCTTCAACTAGCTTCATTTTGCAGAGCTTGAGGCTTGGCTATGCAATAAACATTCATAGCTTGACGCCCTGCAGATTGCGACGAAGGCGCAAAACTAAATATTCGGTAGGGTTTTTCCAGTGGAGAAGCCAAATGAGCTGATCACCCGAGGTTTATGCGTTTCGAACTCAGGTGGAGTGGTAATTTTCCTCTCGAGTATGGCCGTAGGACTTTTTCTCCACTAATTACTTTTAAAATAATAATAATAATAATAATAAACGTCATTACTGATTTTTTTTAACAGTAGGTTGTGGGTTGGATTGGACAACCTAAATGGGCTTGTGGATAGCCCACCCATTTTAAGATATTCATAATATATGAAATTCAGACCCTTTTTCTTTTTTTTTTTTTGGGCCATCAAACTCAGTCCATTTGCGTTGTACATGATTGTTACCAAAGTTTGACAATAAAACTTATTTTTTTTAAAAAAAAAAATGACATTACAAAAGAAAAAAATTGAGTTTTGGTCCCCGATTTAGTGCTTAAATTTCGACTCCGCACAACTCAACTCATAAATTTTTTGTCTTGGCATAATTCAATCCTTAATAAACTAGAAAATATGGGTTATATTATTGGATTAGTGGGGATTTGGATTTGGATTTGGACAAATTAAAATTCACTATTTGGCTGCATAAAATTTTATAGATTTGAATTATCCAAATCCAAGCAAACATTTCATTAAAATTCTTTAAAAAATTCAAATACTTAATCATCCTAATTATTTTAAATCTCAAATATTCTTTTCCAATACTATCCAAACACAGGAACAAGACAACAAGTTCTTACAAGTGTGAATGGATGTCCAAACTCCACCTAAAGGAAACTATGATATTTGACGCTTGAATAGGCACTCACAATGGTATAGCGACTACTTCAAACAAAGTTGTTATTTGTTATTTATAGCGACTAACACAACATAAACCCTAAACCCTAAACCCTAATGGAAGCAAGATTCAAGCCATTACTAATTGTCAACTGTCTAGAAGTTCTTCATTTATATTCCTGCTGATCTACCTTTTCATTTATGCATCTATCATAACTTGGCAGAAAATTTTAACTTTGCTTTAGGATTTTTGTCATATGTCTGTTGAAGTTATGTCATGGGGTCTGTTTGGCAAGACTTATTTGGGCTTAAAAGCAGCTTATTTTACTTATAAGCCCGATTGGTTGAAGAGGCGGTGTTTGGCTGGGCTTAAAAAAAAAAAAGAAGCAGCTTATACATTTTAAGCTCCAAAATGGGCGGTCAGGCTTAAGCAGAATTTGTGGCTTATCTCCTCACTTTAAGAGCTTATTTTTTTACCGTTGAAAAGTGTCAGGGGGTTATTTTTTTTACTTCAGCAGCTAGGAATCTCTCATTTTTCTTCACCTCGTTTTTTTCTTCCGCCTCAACTCTCTCCGCGACTGCGAGCTGGAGCCCAGCGTCCGCTGTCATGTCCTCGCTAGAACCACCGACACCTGGTCGTCGTCAGCTCCATCGCGTCTCTACCGTGGGGTCATTGTCTTCGGTGTGGCTTTGAGTGACTGAGAGCCTAGTCCTTCATCGCGTCTCGTCCTTCTCCAAGCTGCTGTCGGCGTTTCCAACCCAGGTCGCCACCGTCTGCCGGTGCATGTGAGGTGTGCTTCGACTTCTTAGCCTCCCAGTGGAATAGAGTGTCCGATCTACCTCTGGCAAGCGTCAGGTGGTCTGATCTGAGACAGGTTGACCGGTTCCTATTTTTGTGTTGCTTTTCGATGAATTTGGCAATGATAGGCGATTGATCGAAGCATGTGGAGTGTGTGTGTGTGTGTGTGTTGATCTGTGTGTGAGCTGATATAACATTTGGATGAGGGGATTCACCAAAAAGCTAGGAAAATGCCCGGCAATTAGAGCAGAATTGTGGACAATTCTGAGGGCTTTGCGACTTGTGAGGGAGAGCAATATAAATTATTTAATCCTTGAAACTTATTCGTCCTCAATGATCTGGATGTTGCAGCAATTGCAAGATGGAGAAGTTTTTGATTTAATTCAGAAAGAGCTGAGTAATTTTTCTAGTTTACAGTTTAATCATGTTTTTAGGGAGGGTAATGTTTGAGTACATTCCGTGCCAACTTGAGTATTGTACAGGACAAGGAGTTTGCTGTTTTTGATGTGCCTCCTCAATGCGTGAAATAGCATTTGGATAATGATATGTTGGGAGTCTCTCTCCCACGAATGATAATGGAATAAGATGATGGCTTGTTGCCCCGTATTTCTCTAACAAAAAAAAGGTTGAATTAAAAAATGTTTAATGTATATGTGTATTTCTCTAATATCACAGTCTTCATCGCATAGTATATGTGTATTTCTCTAACATCACAGTCTTCATCGCATATGAATCGTGTTCGTGATGCAATCAAAGACCAAATTATTCATAGTTTATCAATTAATTAATTATGTAATATTATTTTGTTTTACTTTGTCAATTGGTGTTCAAAACTTTGTTATCCATTTAAATTATGTTTAGTTTTATATTAACAATCTTTTTTTTCATTTCTATGAAGCTTTCAAATTTAATTCACTCAATCAATTTTACTTTTTCGTATTAAATTAATTTAAATTTATTGTATTATGTTAATTTATTTTTTTTATCATGTTGCACTTCATTTCTTAAATATTTTTTATAATTTCTCTAAAGTTCTTAATTCTAATTCACTCATTAAATTTTACTTCTTCATTATATTATCTCAATTCAATTTTTTTCTTCTTTCACTTTATATTTAAAATAATTTTTTTGATTTCTCTAAAATTTTAAAATTTAATTCACTTATTCATATTAAATTATTTTAATTCCATTGTATTATGTGAAATTATTTTTTTCTATTTTTTATTATTTATTAAAATTCATGCCCATTTTGGTCATTTTACAACTAAACTTACTTTTACTCAACCATAATCCAAACAACTTTTTACCAATCTCACTTTTGCAAACGGACTTTTCTGAACTCCAATCCAAACACAATTCAGCTTATCCAATTTTGCTTTTACCCCATTTACTTATCCATAAGCTGCTTTTTCAATAAGCAGCTTTTCCAATCGCTGATCCAAACGGGCACATGATCTTCTTTTTTAAGGTTCTCTGATAATTCTATTTGAATATTAAACTCTTGCATTTTTTTAATGTCATTTTTTCTTATGCCAAAAAAAAAATCCAATTACTACGATTTTTGATTCTTCATTGTATTAACATGCAAGAAAGCTAAGCATATCACATTTTCTTTAAAGGGAAGCATCTAGAAGAGCACTTATGCTTTCATGAATTAAAAATTGGGATAGAAATGGAATTGGCTCACTTGTGAGTTGTCCAATGTGTTTCTTCTTTTCACCTTTTTTTTCCCTTTCTTCCACACACACACACACACACGCTTTTCAATTTTCTTCGATATGTACAATAATAATGTGTGTATCTATATGCTAAATATGTCACCGCAAGTGCAAAATCCATTTGACACATGCCCCTAAAATAAGTTGGTCCCTACACTAAAAAGAAAGTTTCTATTTTTCATTTTTAGATGGGATCTGGAAATTGTTTTGAGGCTAATTAATTAGTTTGCTTGAATTGCCAAAGGTAAGGATATTTAAAAATGGGCCATTTTTCTGAATTTTTGGATGGAGGGGGTTGATGTGTTAAATCAAACTAACAAACTCAAACTTATTAATTGCAATTCTTTCATAAAAGTAAACATTAGAATCCATTGCTATATGTTATATAAATAAATACCACAAAGTCATTCATATATTTTCCTAGTACTTGAACACAACATAAAACTCCTTAAGTTAAAAGGACATGATAATCAGAAAATGATAAAATAAAGAAACAACAAACATTCCAAAAGTAATAATTACACAGACGTTTCAAAGAATATTAAAGTTATTTCTTCTTTTTCTTCTCAGAGTGCTCCTTTTCCATCCTCTCAAAGAGACTTCCATCATAAACAGCTCTGACTGTTTCCTTGCGCAGTAAACCCTGGTCGTCTTTGCAAAGGTCGTATAGGATCTTCCATTCTGTGTAGGCAGCCACCCTATGCATATCCATTCACATGATACCAAGTCAATGAAGATTTCAATAAATTTCACATGATACCAAGTCAAGAAGATTTTAATAAATATATTATTTGCTAGTGAAACCCTCACAATGGCAATAGAATTCGAACCTATATCCCACCTCACGAGGATTATTCATACCAACTTGACCAGTTCTTGTGAGTAGAATTGGGGAGCATATGATAATACCTTCAGTCCTAATTATAAGATCTTGTTTATAACCTCTAAACGAAATCTTATAATTAAAATCGGAGGTAGTATATAATAGTGCTTGAGTGTTGGGACATGAACAAATGTTTCACTTCAATAAAGTTTCCCCTTCAATTTTTTCATTCAGCAATATATTGTAGATATATCAGACCGACTGACTTACCATCCGTTGTAATCTTTAGGTTCTCGGTTTGCTTTCATCATGGCCTTGAGCTCGTCATATGTTAAAGCATCTGGGTATGTTTTTGCATGCTTCTTGAAAATTTCTTCAAATTTCGAAGGAACAAACCTGAAATGTTGATCCATAAATAATAAAATGATACGTCGAATTCACTCCAAAAAAAAATGATATGTCAAAAACAACTGTAGTGTCATTTATGGGACTTAAAGCATGAAGATTGAGCATAGATATATAGTGTCTTGGATTGTTCATTTTTATTAGCTTGAGCTGTTAATTTTGTGAGTACAGATCAAGTACAAAATCTGAAAAAAGGAACACAATTACTAAAAAAGACCTAATAACAATTAAACAACATGTAATAACAAATTCTAGAGTAAAAAATAACAACTTCTAATTTATTATTAAAATTTTTTGATAGTTATGTTCCTTCCTTAAAAACTTATTGTAATTTTCCCTATCATTAGTGACATTTAATTTACCTTCCTTCAGTATCATAGACTCCAGAGTCACTTCCATGTTTGGCCATATGTATGTTTTTAACTTCAATTGGGAACAGTGGAGAAGGAAACTTTCCCTGCAACATAAGAACCAACACTTATTAAGACAAAAGTTACGAGGCAAAGAGATTTCTTCCAAAGTTTTCGATCACTTCAGAAGTAGGAATATTTTCAAGAATGGTTTGAAAATAATGATTTTTGGTACTTAGGTTGCATTTACAGTAAAAATTGTACAACGTGAGTATTACCCAAGTGACAGGAGGGACTAACATCTAATAATTGCAATAAAGACTTAAATTGCTAATTTTGTGCCGACGTACTAAGTGGCAGGTGGGTCATTGACTTTAATTTATGTCATTATCAAATACCCCTTTCGTCGTTTTCTAGTCTTATTTATAAATAAAGCTAACATAATAATAAATAAAAGATAAAATTATATATCTATACAAAAAAATTTCTCTCAATATCCTATAAATGGAATAAAAAATACATTCTCTCTCTGTCCTATAAATAAGACCAGAGGAGTATATAGTTATTTTCTTGAAACATGTATATAGTAAATAAGAATAAAATTAAAAAGTTATTATATTTTAATAAAGAGTTAATACATCTTAAAATTTGTTTTTTGGTCTATATAAAACATACTGAAAATACCTTATAAACAAGATTTACTGAGAAAAATATATATGACCTGCACTCGTCTATTTTCTTCGGGTGTAATGTTTCTTTCAGTGCTGGAGAGCCCACTTTAACTATGCGCTTGATTAATGATTATGCGTGATTAAATGCTTTTAAAATTACTTACTTTTTTAAGATACTACCTGAACATCTAATAATATATTAAATTGAGTTAAGTACGTCAAGCTAAAGGGATCATATTTATAATAATTAGTGAGATTCACCTGAATATAATATTCTGAACAGTTATATTTCACTTAAAGAAAAAGGGGGAAAGGGTTAAAACTTAAAACGTACAGGACGGGTTTTGCGACTGAGAGCGACATTGATAAGAAAACCACTCGCAATGGACAAGAGGATGCCACCCCCGATTGCTCGAAATCCTGCAATTTAATCCACACACACATTTAATCCTTTTTTCGTTACAAAACAAAAGAAAAAAGAAAAATATATTCAGTCATTTTCTTACCCCAAAATTGCATAGTTCTTCACAACTAAATTAATTTTAACTGAAGTCATTAATATTTATATAAAATATACAAAAGAAATACTGCAGAAATTAAAGCCTACGAAGAAAGGGCAAGAGATTAAAATTAATCTGAAATATTCCCATGAAAAATTAATATGGAATTATTATGCTGTTTTTATTTTGAATTTTTAAGTAATATGATGTCAAACAGGTACATTCTAGTTTACCATACAAATTAGTTCTGGGATTAATACGATAAAAAAAAATACAAAAAATGCAAAACCAGGACTAAAATTCTTGGATCCAGATTTCATAGGATCTAAGGAGGGTATCAATAATATATAAATCCCTTAAAACTAAATGAAGAATTGAAGATATTTGGTTTGGTCCTCAACAGTTAACACACTTATGGGATGTTTGGAAAGCATCAGAAGTCTTCTGAAAAACATTTTTCTGTAAATCGAGATAAACTCTTCCACATATTTATTTTGCATACTGTAAAAATACTTTTAAAACTATGATTTTAATTCTATCCAAACACCTAATAAAACTTACTTTCAATATGAGGAATCGACATGGATAATTTAATATATATATATATATATATACACACACACACACATATATGAACCTGACGTCTTACAGATTTCTTAATTAGTTCTTGAGGCGGCATTTGAAATATTTTATCTTGACAAAACAGGAGGAGGAAAAAAAAGAAAGTATAGTTTACTCCTCTGTGCCACGTTTGGATAAGGAAAGAAGGGGACAAGAAACAGAAGGCACGAGTCCTTTTTTTCCGGCTTCACCGGAGAGAGAATTCCTGGGCATCATGTTCGGTTGGAGGGCAATAATGTAATTTTATTTTCTATTTTGAATAATAATTCTTTCCCATCCCACACCCTAAAGCTGCTTCCTTTCCAACTATGACGGAATTAGATCCTAGTTGATCTGGAATTAAATATTAATTTATGCACGCACATCTATATGTATACATTATATTGCATAGATCTCTTCCTTGTTCAGTCGAACTCTAATGTTGCAAGAGGCATATTCAAGTAAAAATTAAAATTTTTATTATTATTTTTGTTAAGTATTTCTTCCTTTAGAGTTAATTTGATATTTAATTTTATTTTAAATATAAAATCTAATATCTCTCATATTTATCTATTTTTTTAAAGATAGTTTTTGTAGTAGTTGTATATATTAAAGATTTTATCAAATAGTAGTTTTAACTAATACACATAATAGGGCAAACAATACTATCCCTGGTCCTAAATATAAGAGCTAGTTGATTAATTTAAGTAGATTAAAAATAAGTTAAATTAATTATTTATAATAAATAGATATTGTGTTTCTTAAAATTCCTTGTTAATCAAGTGTATTGGCTTGAACTACTATTATTAGAAAAACTATCATAAAAAAGAATAAATATAAGAGATAAAGTGAATTATGATCTTATATTTAGGATCAAAATAAAATTTAAATAAGATCTTAATATTAAGATCTTATATTAAGGGCCGAAAATAGTACATATTTATTACAAATAACTAGTTTAACTAATTTTTTTAATATACTCAAATTAGTTAAATAATTCTTGTATAAAGGACAGCTAGTAATATAATTTAATTAAAATATATAAAAATTTATATTTAATTTTACAAAGATAATATTTAAATAAATTATTGTTACAGAAAATCTTTATGTATAAATCACAAATAACACAAATAACCAATTTTTTTCCTCTCTTTTAAACTTAAAAGGATGCCATTTAGCTGAACAAGAGAACGAAAAAAATTATAAGATTCCACAGACCAATTATATCATTTTTCAGAAAAATCATTATGGAGTACTGAAAAAAAAAATATAACCACTAAAAAACTATTCTTCCTCCTTTTTCCCCACTCCAGACCATTCTCTTTTCTTCTTCTTCTTTGTTTGGCTCCCCTCATCGTGAAAAAAAGGGTATATATAGAAAATGACGCATCGAATCAGAGATAATAGATATTTATATTCATAAATGTGTTTTAAAATTAAATACAGGAAGAGAGCAGAAGAGAAGATGATCCGAAGAGAAGGGGGAGGAAGAGATTAAAAACCTTGAAAAGTCTCCCACGGATAAACGACGCCGTCGTGGTTCCTATCGAAGAAAGCGACGTGCTTCTGCAGAACGTTCTGGTCCAGAGGTATAGGTCTCTCGCTCACTGAATCAAACAAATCAAACAATCGGTTTCGAAACTGGAAATCGAATCGAATCGAAAAAAAATTAAAAGAAGCTGGCTGAAGGATCGAGAGTAGTACCTTCTTGAATGCTATTGTTATCGCTCTGGAAGGGCGACGAAGCCATGAAAACGAACCGAGAAGAAGAAGACGAGGAAGAAAGAAGAGATTTCTGGAAATGAAACTGAGTTTGGGGCCTAACGAACGGTTATGAACGATAATAGAATGGCTTTTGTGCTGTCCTGGTTTGTGCGTAATTCTGAGTATAATCTCTGAGCTTATAAAGCAAAGGAAATGAGAGAAACGTAACGCTTGAGAGAGCAACACGCCGCAAAAATGGACACACCCACGCGCTCCCCCTTTCATATTACTTTTAGGGCTTATTTCCTTATTTGGGGCTTAGCATATATAATATAGATGGGAAATTTTAATTTTGGTAAGTCCCGTGTAAAAATCTAATTAGCTAAAACGATCTAATTTGAGTGGGTATAACTGTGATATGTGAATGTAATGTATTTTTTTGCTGTGTGTAAGATATTATCAATAATATATAACTATTATCAATATAAAAGTTATATATACAATAAAAGATATATTACGTTTACGGATCATTTTTACATGTGCTCAAATTTAGATTCTTTTAGCCAATTAAATTTTTAAACGGAAATTTTTTACCAAATTTCCTAATATTAAACTATTTGAATAAGAAATAATATATTGTATTTCTCCAATATTTACTTCTCATTACTTGTCTGCCTGTCAAGTGAGTGCACAAGATTATTTTTTATCTCTGTGTGTGTGTGTGTGTTTGTAAAATTGTATGTGCTAAATTAATTTGTATCATGCGCTAAACTTTATCCACTCATTCTTTAAAAGAATGAAATAAAAAAATTCCAACATATGTTTTTGAGGCAGCAGGATTTGTATTACAGCGTTTGATAAATTTTTCATTGTCTTCTAAAAATAAGAAGATTAATTACAGTACAGGTAAACTCATATTAGCTAAAATATCTATAACAATAAAATTATACTCATCCAGTCTTTAATGTAAGATCTAATTAACTAATTTGAATAGATTAAGAATGTTAGTTAAATTAATTAATATAATATTTTTTTAAAATACTCTAATTATCTTTCTTGATTCCTTTCTCTTTCCTACACTATTATTGCTGAGAAAATATCAATAGGATTAATTTGAAAAAAATTAATAAACATGTCAAATATGTCTTACATATAGGACTAACATGAACTCTGAAATTAGATCTTATATCAGGAACCGAAGGGATATTGTTTTTTTAATACAACATCAAAAGGCTACTAAACAAGAAGCATGAATAGGTGAATTTTACATTTAATAGGTGATATAGGAATAACATCGCATTACAATAATAAATTAATTATCAGAAAATCGCCAGTATTATATGTACATATTATTGCTTTATCCGAAAGAATGTTTTGTCTATGTCAATCATTTATAAGCTTAATGAGATTAATTTTAAATTCTTTACATATATTAGATACGTCGTAATTGCCCTTAACTATGTCCACTCTAATCTATATTTCATGATGCTCCATCTCTTGACGTAATAAATCTGTGATTTTGAGTCATTTTGTTTCGATCGAGATGAAATCAAATCAAAATTTTGAAGAATTGATGCAAAAAATATCATAATTTTATGTTTTTTTTCCTTTTTTTTTTTAGGTTTCTGGGATGAACAAATGAAATTATATGGTTGAGTAACGATAATGAGATGGGGAAGGAGGAGCGTGAAAGGACGCGGATGAAAGGGGCGCGTGGGGGAGGGAGCTGAATTTGGGAAAGAAAGGAAGGATGCGATGGATATGTGCCGTGTGCTGGGGCAATAAGGCGTTCACACAAAGTGGCGTAGAAGCATCTGTGAGGCACACGCATATATTTTGTCCGCTGTAAAGCAAAGGCCTATTAAGCTAATCCTTCTTAATTTGTCCTTATTTCTAAGTTTTCGTATTTATTTAAATAACTTCTTTATAAGTAAGTCACACGAATCTATTATAACTATTTAGTATTTTTCTGATTTTTAATATAAGACCTATTTAACTAATCTGATTAGATTATGAAAGTTGGATAAGTTAGTTAATTAAAAAAAATATTAGATCTTTTTTCTAAAATAGTATAATCATCTTTCTTAATATTTTATTTCTCTCTTCTACTTAATTATAATTGAGGGAATATCTATATAGGTACTTTAAGAAAAATTGATGAACATGAGAAATAGCTATTATATTTAAGATAAAAATTAACTTAATAATTAGGTCCTATATTAAGGATCGGACGAGTATTTTATAAGATCTAAAGGACTTGAATGTAATTTTTTATCCTCGTGAAAGTGCCGGAATACCCTTTTAACTAACCAAGTTTAGCCCGCGTCGGATTCTATTGATTAGTAGCTTTAAAAAAGAAAAAAGAAATGCATCTTAAAAGTAAGAGTGTAAGAATACTTTGAGTAAAAGATTATAAATTTAGAATATAAGGTAAAGACGGCACCTCAATTCATAAATTGACTTGTGCAGTGGTCTTTGAAATTGTGGTTTCTTGCCGTGAGTGGACAATGTACGTATAGCTCTCTTCATTCCCATTAATTTCTCAAACATATCTTAATTTTGAATTTCCAAAACCCAGATTTATTTTAAAAATTTGGCTTATTCTAAATATAAGATTTAATTTAGTCCTTTTTTTTTTAGTTTTAAATTTTGTTTCCACGATTTTGGATATTTTAAAAGAAAGTGTTACAAATTCACTGCATCTTAATTATTAATAATTATTTTAACTATTTCTTTAAAAATTTTACGAATTCATTGAATGGCCCTTGTATTTAAGATAAGAAGGATCAACCTTTTCAACTTAGAATTTCTAAAGTTACGTCTTGCATGTGATATAATCATTATTATTTCTGGAAAAAAGATCACAATGAGAAGCAACCTTTCATGCATAATGACTATTACGATTTTTTTTTCCCCAATTATCCTCATTAGACGGGAAAAAAAATCCTAAGATGGGATTTCAGCAAGAAAAAGTCCAAAAACTATTGCTTATCGAAATCTAGAATAGTACTATCTAAGATATATGTTTGCAGCAGCCCAAAAAAAAAACCTTAAATATCATTGCTTCATGAAATTTCTAACACGAGTGTCTGGATAACTAATTTATAAAGATTAAAACGTTAATTATGTTTGTTAAAAAAAGTTAATTATATTAACTATCAGTAAAAGAAATGTGTTGATAGTTTAACTTTGCAGCGCAGCTTAATTTGTGGGTACTATAGCTATACGGCTATACCTACTCTACAAAATCATATAACTCCATTAACATCAAGTACTAACTCCGGCTCTAAACCGGAAATGGTATTATCAAAAAGTTACGCCAGCTCCGATGATAAGGATGAGCTGGTGGGATGCAAATGGAGAGCTGTGATTCAAATTTTCTTTTTCTTTCTTTGTGTTGGAAATTAAGCGCTCTCTCTGTATATGCTGTTTTTATTTCTTAATATAAAATCTTATTTGATTTTTATTTTAGTTCTAAATATAAGACCTTAATCTACTTTGTTTCTCATATTTATTTATTTTTTAAGATAATTCTTCTAATAATAGTAATTCTAACCAATAAACTTGATTAGTAAAGATATTTTAGAAAAGACAACACTTTTTTATTACAAATAATTAACTTAACTTATTTTCTTAATTTACTCAAATAAATTTTTTTTTCAAAATGTCCCTATTGATTATAAGAAACCCTCACTAAAAAAGTAATTTAAGTGCATATGATTAAATATAACAGTTTAAAAAGATAAATACATATTTATGATAAATAATTAAAACCTAATTAACTAATTTGAGTATATTAAAAATGTTAGTTGAATTAGTTAATACTACCTTCGGTCCTAATTATAAAATCTTATTTGTAAACTATAAAAGAGGTCTTATAATTAGGACAGGAGGGAGAATGATATTTTTTTTGTCTAAAATACCCTAAGTATCTTTTTAATTCCCTTCTTTCATCTCCTACTTAATTATTGTTGATGTAACATCAATATAATTAATTTGGAAAAAATTTTATAATTATATGAAATAGGTCTTAAATTTAGGATAAATATTAATTCTCTAATTAGATCATGTATTAAGAAACCGAAGGGTATTTTCAAATTAGTTATAAGCTCTTATATTATGGATTTAGGGAGAGAAAAAGAGTAGGGAGATGATATTACCAAAAAAGGGGAAAAAAAGAAAAGAAAGAAAGGGCAAGGCAATATTGGAAAGTGAGGGGTAAATGAGAAGGCAAATCTGGCTTTGATTGTTAAAAGTTCTTTGTTTTTTAAGGGTTAACAACTCTGTTTTTAAGATTAATTAAATGAAAGTTATAGGAATGTCGTGAATAACGTTGGGTGTGCTTTTTATCAATTATGGTGTCTCTAATCCAAATTATATGATTTTGACCACACAAACACTTACTTTAATTTGGTTGTTACACTGTCTTTTTGTGTGTTTCCATTATGTTGTGTATTCATTATTATCACTGTGCCCAAATTTATCTCTTTCCCTCACTTTTTTTTTCCCTTTTGCTTTTCTAATTGATGTGCCAATCCCCAATTTATCTAATCATGGGGCTTCGTTAATCGCAAATTATATGTTGTGATCTCTTTCAATTGTCATTAAAAGTTAGTACAATTTTTTATCCTTTAAATTTATCTTATTTTGATTTTAGTTCTTCAAATTTCAAATCATAGGTTTTTATCCCTCAAATTTCTTTTCATTTAAAACATTAGTCTATATAATACAATAAAAATCTTGACCATTTTGCTCGTAGAGGGACCAAAACCTATGATTTGAAATTTGAGAGATTAAAACTAAAATGAGAACAATTTTAAGAGACTAAAGATGATATTAATTCTTTCCGCAATTTATTTCACTCCAAAAAAAGAAAATACTTAAAACGGTGAAACTTATATGCTTGATGTATGTTCGTTAAGTGGGATCAAAATTTATAAATAAACCATATAATTTATAAACTATGAATTATCAAATTTCATGTAATAAAAATATTCTGCATAAAATTACGAAAAAAGAAATCTCTCTGTTTGTTTTTTTCTTTTCAAATCAGTGAATAAGCAAAAGCGGTCTCATTCCAGATGCTTTGAGTGAAACTTCGAATAATGAGCTGTATTTGTTGACGTTCTTCTTCAATCCGAATTTCGGCCACCAATTCTATCCTAAAAATAGAATAGAATTTTGTA